GTCTCTGATATTCAATTTCTTGAATTCTTTTTTGCACCCACCTCACTGAGAAGAGTATTCCTGCTGCTTGAATCCTGAGCCACAGAGCAACTAGAAATGCAGCCTTCCTCTAATCTGCCATCTTGAATACTCTACTAATCAGTCTCTTAAAATGTGGTTACTGAGGGACTAAATTTTTAATTTTAATTAATTTAAATTAATACGCAAGTAAGTTGTTAGCAAATTTTTAAATATGTTTGGAATAACTTGGGCCTGTGAATCTCCTTTTACAACTGCAGGTTTCATAAAATCAAAATATAGTTCAAATACTTCTGATAGAAACTTGTATCCAAGTTGAGATGTGTTGTAAGTATATAGTACACAGAAGATCTCACTTAGTGTGAGAAAAGAATGTAAAATGTCTCAATTCTTAAATATAGATTACATATCCAAATTAGCACATTTAAGATCCTTCCATTTCTTCTCCAAACTCCTAATATTTATTAGTTGTCTGATTTTACATTTAACAAAGTTTTAATACAGTCTTTTTAAAAAAAATTTTTTAATAGTTGTAGATGGACAGCATACCTTTATTGTGTTTTTTTTTTTTTTTTTTTTTTTTTTTTTAAGGTGGTGCTAAGTATCGAACCCAGTGCCTCACACATGCTGGGCAAGTGCTCTGCCATTGAGCTACAGCCCCAGCCCTGTAATACAATCTTTGTAACCATAATTCCTATGATTAGTCTTTTCCTTTATATTTAAATGGTCCAAATTTTCACTTAGTGCTTTTTTTTCTTTTTTTTTAAATTTCCTCCTTTCTCTTTCTTTTCTTTTTTCTTTTTCTCGTGGTGCTGGGGATCAAACCCAGGCTCTTAAGTATGCTAGGTAAGCAGTCTACCAGTAAGATATACCCTAGCTCCATTGCTGTTTTTAAATGATATTTTCCCATTGTAGAATTCTTAATTTTAATTCTCTCTTGTTTGGTTAGATTTTGTCATTTAGTAGTGTTTTTTTATTTTAGTTTTTAAATTTTAAATCATAAAAATATATACATGAGCATCCAGGTACAGTGGCATATGTCTGTAATTTCAGATACTTGGAAGGCTTAGGCAGGCGGATTGGAAGTTTGAGGCCAGCCTGGGCAACTTAGGGAAATCCTGTCTCAAAATTAAAAACAGAAAAAGGATGCTCACTATAAACTATCTCTGGGTTCAGTCCCCAGTACCAAAAAAATAAAAAAGGGCTAGGGATGTAGCTCAGTGTTAGTGTCCCTGGGTTCAATCCCCAATGCCACATCAAAACAAAACAAAACATCATGAGCACCTTTATAAATATATTTTTGGGCACATTATATTTTAGGATATATTCCTAAAAGTAGAATGATTGAGTTAAAGGTATACACATTTTTAAGACTTTTGATTCTTATTACCAGAAAGATTATAGGACTTTAAGTTTTCACTGGGAGTGTATGAAAGTACCTGTATTGTTTCCCCCTATACCCTCCTCAAAGATGCACAGTTTTTAATCTTTGCAAATTTATTAGTTGAAATATATATTACAATCTAATTTTAGAACTTTTTTGACATCCTAAAAAGAAATCCTATATATACTAGCAGTCCTTTCCCTTTCCTGCCCACTCCTAGCCAGCTTTAGGCAACTACTAATCTACTCTGTCTTCATCGAGTTGCCTGTTCTAGATATTACACATAAATGGAATCATACACTATCTTTTGTGTCTGGCTTCTTTTACTTAGTTTTCAGGGTTCATTTATGTTGTAGTATATATCATTACTATGTTCTTTTTTTATTGCTGAATAGTATTCCAGTGTCAGCTATACCACAGTTTGTTTATTCATTTGTATGTTGATTACACACTTAACGTTGCTTCTACTTTTTAACTTTTGAGAACAATGCTGCTATGTACATTCATAATAATATAATAATATTTTGTTTATGGAGATAGGTTTTCAGTTCTCTTGGGTGTACATCTAGGACTGAAATTTCTGGTTTAAAATCCAATGAATTGCCAAACTGTTAATAATTTACATGGATTTCCCTAACAAAACACCATAGACTGGTTGGCTTAAAGCCAGAAATTTGTTTCTTACAGCTCTGAAGTCCAAGACCAAAGATGCCAGCTGATTCATTTCTTTGTGAGAAATGACTTATAGTCAGCTTACAGATAGCTGCTGTCTTGCTGTGCCTTCACTCAGTTTTTACTTGGTACTCAGTCTTCTTCAAGAGAAGATTTGTCTTCCTCTTCTTGAAAACTGCTTTGCCTGTGGATTAAGACCCCAAATTTATAATCCCATTAAACTTTACTTCCTAAAAGCTCTATCTCCAATACAGAGTGAGGGTAGGGCATCCCTATGAAATTGGGAGAGACATGATTCAGTCCATAGTAATGGGGGCTCCAATTTTGCTACATCTTGCCAACACTTGTTATTATTTGTCATTTATTTTTTTCTTTTTGGAACTAGGATTGAACTCAGGAGTGCTTAACCACTGAGCCACATCCCCAGCCTTTTTATTTTGAGAAAATATCTCACTAAAGTTGTATAGGGCCTCATTAAGTTGCTGAGGAGGCCGGCCTTGAACTTGTAATCCTTCTGCCTCAGCCTCCTGAGTCACTGGATTACAGGTGTGTGCCACCATGCCTGACTTATTTGTCTTTTTGATTAAAGCTGTTTAGAGATGTGAAGTAGTATCTCCTTGTGGTTTTGATTTATATTTCCATAACTGATTGATGTTGAGCATCTTTTCATGTGCTTAGTGATCATTGTTTATCTTTTTTAGAGAAATGTCTATTCAAGTTTTTTGTCCATTTTAAAATTAGGGTATATGTTTTTATTGAGTTGTTAAAGTTTTTTTATACATTCTAGATGCAAACTCCTTATTTAATTTGCTGATATTTTCCCCATTAATTGAGTTGTATTTTCATTTTGTTAATGTTGTCCTTTGATGCCAGAGTTTTAATTTTGATGAAGTTCAATTTATATTATCAGTATTTATTGTTATTCTTATTGTTAGGTGGTACTGGGGTTTGAACCCAGGGTCATTCTACCATTGAGCTATATTCCAGCCCTTTATTTGTTTATTTAAATTTTGAGATAAGGCGTAAATTGCCCAGGCTAACTTTGTACTTGTGATCCTCCTGCCTCAGCCTCCTGATTGAGTTATCTTTTTGTTGCTTGTGCTTTTGGTGTCATAGCTAAGATAACCTTTGACAAATCCAAGCCATAAAAATTTGCTCCTGATTTCTTCCAAGAGTTTTGTAGTTTTAGCTGTTACATTTAGGTCTTTGTTCCTTCTGAGCTTTATTTATTTATTTTTTTATGAGGTATGAAGTAAGGCTCCAACATTCTGGATGTCTTTTATTTGATTTTTTTCTTGCCTAATTACCATTGATAGAACTTCCAGTTGGATAGAAGTGGTAAGAACAGAAATCCTTATCTTGTTTCTGACCTTATAAGATCTTATAAGTCTTTTGCCATTAAATATGAACAAGATATTAGCTACAAAATCAAATGGTCAGTGGTTACCAGATGGTTACCAATAGTTTACTATGTTCTTAGAATAGTAATATTACCTCTGGATTAAAAACTTTTTTTCCTTTTCATTTTTTTATCATGCTGGGTATTGAACCCAGAATCTTGTACATGCTAGACAAGTCTTTTTTAGATGTTGATGGACCTTTAATTTATTCAGTTATTTATATGTGGTGCTGATAATTGAACCCAGTGCCTCATACATGCTAGGCAAGCGCTCTACTACTGAGTCATAACCCTAGCCCCTGCTAGGCAAGTCTTTATCACTGAACCACATTCCCAGTCCTGCCTGTGGATTGTTGGTAGATGTCTTTTATTAGGTTGAAGAAAGTTACCTTTTCCTGTTTTTTGTTTTTATTTTAGTTTTTGTAATGCAAATTGTCTTTTAAAAAAAATTTTAAGTGCTTTTTCTGTGTCTATTGAGATGATTGGGTGGTGTTTGTCCTCTGTTCTATTGATATAGGGTATTACATTAATTGATTTACAGGTGTTAAATGAACATTGCATTCTTGAGATAAATTCCACTTAGTGTGATGTTTCATCCTTTTTATGTGTTGGTGCTTTCAATTTACTAGTATTTTGTTTAGGATTTTTTTCTCTAAAAAAATGATTTTATATTCATCAGAGATAGTGGTCTATAGTTTTCTTGTGATGGCTGTCTACTCTACTTACTGTGTGGGAGGCTGTGTGCTAGATTGGGGTTTGCATACAGAGGTGTATGGTAGAGTAATAGGTGAATTGACAAAACAGTTAGCTTTCCCTCTATGGAATATTTGCAGTGGGGAATTCTGATCTTCTTTTCTAGAACCATGAAAACAGATGTGGTTATACTTTCTGTGCATCACTTTATCCTTTTCCTGATTAGCTCCTTCTCTGAAACACCTAATTATGCTATTACCTTAGTGTCTTTGTTCTTGCTATTCCATCTGCCTAGCATGTTCCTTTCTCAAGATTACCTAAATAACTTACTCCCCACTCCATTACATCCCTGCTTAAATGTCACTATCAATGAGATCTCCCCTGACCATTGTCTGTAAAATAGCACTTCTCACCTTCAGTCCTTATCTTTTTCCTCATATATATTATTCTTCATAGCATTATTATTTCCATTTCAATTTATTCTTGTCTCTATCATCACCTTCTTCCTTTCTTCCTGCCAAATGTAAATGTCAGATGAGAAGAATCTTTAATTGATGTGTTTATTCTTCTATTCCCTGAACCTTGAATAGTTATTATCACATATTGCATGCTTGATCAGTATTTTTTAAATAATTAATACCTCTTTGATTGTTTGAAAAATATTTTTCTTCTTCCCATGTTTTCCTGCAAAGGATTTACTGATGATTTTATTTACATTGACCATTTTTGGTTTACTATGTTCTTAGAATAAGCAAAGTTCTTTCAAATAGTGTAAGAGTTGAAAGAGACACATACGATGCTATTACTTATTAAATTTTGTTTTTTACCTCTTAGTTTTCAGATAGGACCAATCCAATTGATAAACATTTTGAAGTCTTGGTCAATAAGTATGGAATTTCTGCCCACCCAGTTGTTCCTCAGCTGTTTGGTTCTGCTGGAAAAGAACACATGGAAAAATATGGTATGTTAAAAAACAAAACAACACTTTAAGGTGACAGGTACAGTGATGCAACCTGTAATCCCAGCTACCTAGGAGACATGGAGGCAGGAGAATCATAAGTTTGAGGCCAGCCTGGGCAACTTAATGAGGCCCTGTAGGTCATCAATGGATCACTTGTTTAGCAGCAAAGCCCTAGGTTCAATCCTCAGCACCATAAAAAACAACAAAACCTAAGACTCATTACTAGTTATATATTTATTAAGGAACTGTGGAGGATATCATGATATATAAGATATAAACTAGTTTTTGAACTAGGTTGGTGAAGTAGTCCCTGTACAGAAAGTATACATAGGACATCATATGGGAAGTACACCTAGAATACTACATAGTAGGAAATTGAAATAGGAAAAAGTACATTTTTTTGTCTCCTTTAATCAGGGATGATAAATTGAGGATTACCAGTTCTGAATATGATAGTAAAACTTTAAACTTGTTCTTGATAATAGATTTATATAGCCAAATTGTATTCTTTTAAAAAATTTTTTTGTTGCAGTTGGACACAATATCTTTATGTTTTATTTTTATGTGGTGCTGAGGATTGAACTCAGGGCCTCGCACGTGCTATGCGAGTGCACTACCGCTGAACCACAACCCCAGCCCCTCAAATTGTATTCTTATTATTTGAGTCTATCAGGAGTCTGTCATCATCCCATATTCCATGGCATTTTAAGGGGTTAAAATTTCTTAGTTGATTTGGATTTTGTAGCTAATATTATGTTCTTTGACTGATGGTCAATGGTTACCAGATGGGTAAAGCATGGGTTAGTGAAGATAGGGTGATTTTTTTTCTATTGTATGACTGAACCACTGCCTTATTGAATATTATGAGATAAGAAAGAAGATGACCATGTTTAACAGGTCAGCACTCCAATTCTTTGCAGGAAAAATATCCTAGGCTCAATAGGCAGCATCAAGTAGTCAGAAAGGAAACAAGTCTTTCAGCAAGAATGGAAGTAAGTGGCACTTCCATTTACTAAAATTCTCAAAGCAGAAACATGAATCAACTTTGATAATTCTTCCTCCCTTTCTTCCACTTCAGTTTCTTACTATGTCCTAGAAATTCTACCTGTGAACCATCAAACTATCTTCTTTCGTCCAGTTCTTTCATTACCATAGCTCTTTTCTTAGGTAGACTTTTTTTTTTGGGGGGGGGGGTAGGGGTGCTGTCCCACTGAACTATATCCCCAGTCCTATTTATTTATTTAGAGACAGGGTCTTACCAAGTTCCTAAGCTGGCCTCGAAGTTGCAATCCTCCTGCCTCAGCTTCCCAAGTCACTGGGAATTATAGGCAGGTCCCTCTGCCCCTGGGTAGGTTAGAATTTTTCAAACATTGATTGTAACCCACTAGGAAATTATGGAATCGAATCAAGTTTAGTGGGTCAAGCCAACCATTTCTTTTAATCTGAACTTTGTATTGTTGTCTATTATCACTCAAAATAGAGAAGTAAACAAAACACTGTACACAGCAAGCAAGAATGTGAATTCTCATAAAGGTGATAGCTTGTGACCTACATTACCACCTAGGTTAAAAAAAATAATGTTGTCAGCATCCAAAATTCCTCAGTGTACATTATTTTTGTCTTATGAACTTTGTAGGTTTCTTGATCATCTTGAGTCATTGCTTTAGCCACCCCCACAAATCTTATTGTAATGTGTTCTTTTCTACCATGAGACTCTTCTGAAATAGTTGAGGGTCAAAAATCTTAAGCTTCCTAGTGGCCCTTTATTTGAGAGAATTTGTAAAACAGAGCTGTCTGAACTATGTACTGAGGTATTCCATTTAATCTTTCTGAGATCTTTTTTTTAATATTTAATTTTTAGGTGTAGATGGACACAGCAAAATGCCTTTATTTTTATGTAGTGCCAAGGATCGAACCTGGGTCCTGCCCGTGCTAGGCGAGCGCTCTACCGCTGAGCCACAATCCCAGCCCCCTTTCTGAGATCTTAACTGAGGATTTGACATAGCCTGGGCTTCATCTCAGACAGTGTTTTATTGGCAGTGTCATGAATTTGATCTTTGCTGAAAGTCTATTTCTTAATTTTAGCATCTTTTACCTCTAAAAAATCTGAGAATTTTCAAAACTATCACGTTCTAGGTTCTTTTTGTTTAACAATTGTTTCCTCAATATAAAGATACAGAATTTTACTATAAGTTGCAATAAGAAATCAGGTAGCAACTTCAACATTTCGTATGTTTTCTAATTTTGCACATAATTTCAGGCAATAGTATTATAAAAATCCCTGTGTTTTTATAAGAAGAATCTCCCTTCATCTAGTTCCTGGTCAGATTTTCTTTATCTTCTTATAAGTTCTCACCTACAGCATCTTCAAAGGACTTCAAAGATACCACTAATATTCTCTTCTAGGCACTTCAGGCTTTTACTAGCAGTTTCCTCAAAGTCTACTTTCTGGTTCCAAAGCCATTCAAATATTTTACATTTTTGTTCAGTGAGACTGAACAATCAAGGATTGATTGTTCCTTGATCAAGGAACTGGCAGATTCATTGTCTGGTGAAGGCCCACTTTCTGATTCATGGAAGGCATCTTCTCATTATGTCCTCATACAAGAAAAAGGAAAGAGAGCTCTGGGACCTCTTTTATGAGGCCACTAATCCCATTCATGAGGGCTCTGTCCTCATGATTTGATTACCTCTCAAAGGTCCTACTTTCTGTTACTATCACCTTGGGGATTAGGTTTCAACATATGAAGTTTGTGGAGATATAAACATTTAGTCTATTGTGCCCCTCAAAGGCCCATCTCCTAATAACAATTAGGAACAGGGTTGGACATAAGAATTCAAGGGAATGAAGTGCAGTGGCACATGCTTGTAATCCAAGTTTCTCAGGAGGCTGAGGCTGAAGGGTTGTAAGTTCAAAGCCAGCCTTAGCAATTTAGCAAGGCCCTAAGCAACTTATGGAGTCCCTGTATCAAAATAAAAAATAAAAAGGGTGGGGATGTGGCTCAGTGATTAAGTCCCTTTGGTTCAATTCCCAGTACCAAAAACTAAAACAAAACAAAACAAAACAACAACAATAACAACAACAACAACAAAAAAAGAAAGAAATTAGGGGCTGGGAATGAAACTCAATGGTAGAGCTTCACATGAGGTTCTTCTAGCATGCATGTGACCCTGGTCCCCAGCACAACAAAACAAACAAACAAACAAAAACAAGAAAGGAAATACATGAACTAATTTAGAGAGAACTGTTGTATTTATGATGTTGTTATCCTAGAAAATTAAAGTTTTCCTTATATATAAACGTTTTATTTCATGTGAAATAAATTTATTTCACATTTTATTTATTTTTAAATAACTTCCTTAATTGCTTTAGTCGTCTTTGAGGCAAATGGATGTTTCTTTGTTGTTATGTCCTCTAAATTAGTTATTAGCTGTGTGTATGTATATATATGTATATAGATTTCTATTAATTAAAAAAATATTTTTAGTTGTAGATGGATATAGTACCTTTATTTTGTTAATTTATTTGTGGTGCTAAGGATGGAAATCAGTGCATTACATGTACTAGGCAAGCCCTCTACCACTCAGCCACAACCCCAGCCCTCTGTGTATTAATTTTATGACTTGCTATATTATTAAATTTTCTAATTTGGGGGTTAGTTTTGTTATTGATTTTATTTAAAGGTGTTTTTCAGATAAGCAACTATATTATTTCACCTGCAAAAAGAGTGAGTTTTACTGCATCTTTACTAAGTGTAATGTTTCTAATTGATTTCTTTTTTATAATTGCTTTAGCCAATACTATAAGTACATGTTAAATAGTAATGAAGATAATAGACATCCTTGTCCTTCCTATTCCTGATTTCATTGTTTTCCCTTTAAGTAAGACCCTGGCTTCAGGACAATGATATATACAGTTTGAGCCTTCTCTAATCCAAAAATCCAAAATCTGAAATACTCTGAAATCTGAAATGCAGAGTTAGATTCTGTTGCTGTTATTTTATGTAGTAATTTCAATTTAATATTTATAACTGATGTTGACTTATAATTTTTTTGTTAGGACTTTAACAAGTTTTATACTTGCTTCATAAAAAGAAATATGAAGTTTCTTTTTTTCTTTTTCTTTTTTTTTTACTCTTAATGCTATAAAATAGTTTATGGAGCATTGGGACCATGTGATCTTTGTAAGTTTGGTAGAATTTCCTGTGAAACTATGTGGGCCTGTTTTTTTTTTTTTCCCCCCCCTGGAGGGTAGTTGCTTGGTAATTTCCTCTATTTCTTTTATGTTTAAATATTCTGTAACCATTTTTGGCAGTCCAGAAATTACCCAATTTAGATTTTTAAGTCAACTTATATGGAAGTCTGAAAAGTAATCTTTTATAGTTAAAAATTTTATTTCTATTTAAAGTAGGAAAAGTTTCTCAGCCTGTTCTTACTTTTACTGCTGGAAACTGTAGAACAACAGTAGGCTGCCACCAGCTCACCTCTTTGCCCTCTGCAGGTTTTCTTCTGGCTGCTTTTGTTCCCTCAAAGAATGAGCAGTTGTTGGCTGGGATTTGGTCTTTTCCCTTTTCTTTTTTTCTAACTTATAGATAATTTAAAGTTTTGGCATCTTCTGTTTTCTGGTTATGCTGATTGTATGGTTTTGTGCTATCTTATTTTTTCTTGTGAGTTTATATTGTTTTGGATATACACACATACACACACACATATTTGTGTTTATATATGTTTTCTTTGTTCAGCTTTTGTTTGGAAGCTACTGAAATACATGAATATATATTTCAATAACTTAGACTTAAAAAGAGGGAGCACTTCCAAAGAAACTATAGAATTCAATAACACAATCAATAACTTAGACTTAACTGACATACATAGAATATTTCACCCTTCAATGAGCGAATACACTTTCTTCTCAGCAGCACATGGATCCTTCTCTAAAATAGACCATATACTATGCCACAAAACAACTCTTAGCAAATATAAAAAAATATAGATACTAC